TTTCACCATTCCTTGGACCCAGTGTCTTCTGTATCCTTCACCCCACTTCTCTAAACCCATCTCAAAGACTTTACCTTCTCTGTAGAGCTGCCTTTCTCCTCACAGCAACAAAGTGCCTTCCACACCAGGGCATCCCCTCCCTGACCTGCCCTTTCTGCCTGTCAGCAGAGCCTCACCCTCACTTCACAAAGTTGCCTTCTCCAAACCTTCAGGTGCTCCCAGCACCATCCCTGCCTTGTGGCTAGCACCCCACCACCAGGTCCCCCTGCTTCATCCCTCCCCACACTGCCCTGTTCCCTTTGGCCTCTGCCCTTTCCTGGCACCAGCTCCTTGGGTATCCCCTCCTCATGCACACTGTGTGAGACCCCTGACTCCTGCTTTTCACACAGGAGCATTTCAGAACAGAGCAAACCCTCCACTGGTCACAGCTGCAAGAGCAGCAGAAAGAGGATTTGTCAGGGGAACAGCAACTCTGTGGTAGCTTTCATAAAACAGAATGAACCGCATAGCACTGCTGTGTGCACTGGTGGAGAGGACTGAGGAAGAGAAAAGAGGAGAAAGGTGGGTATTTATGGGAATTTGCAAGAAAGAAAGAATCCACTTTGATGTTAATGACCTGAGTCAAAATATAAGGAGGCTGAACTTCCCAGAAAGGAAGTTCACTAAGAGGGAACCACAGATAAGCTTCAGAAGCTAAACTGAAAACTGGAGGAGAAGGTAGACTTAATTCTCAGAAGAAAAAAAAAAAAAAGAAAAAAAAACTGTCTGAAGTATACTTTATTGAAGACAGAGAAAGCAAAAGACAGAGAGCAGCTTGAAAGTAAAAGAGGTATTAAACAGAATTACAGGAAGCAAATAAAAAGCAGCAGGCAGAGAAAAGCAGAGTAAATTTGAAACCCGGGACACTAGGATTTGTTCACACAGGGAAAGGTCAGATGGCGACAAAGTTCCAGGAGTATCATGGAACAAGCCAACAAAGAATTAGCTGACACTAACACATAGGAAGTAATAATAATAAATAAATAAATAAAAGAATTATGAGAAAGAATGTGAACTGGAGGAGAGGAGACAGGCTAGAAATGAGAGATGAAAGAAGAGACAGAACAAATACTGCATGGGATGAAGAGGGGCAAAGAGCAGAACAGCCCATTCTAGCTCAGTTCATAGGAACTGAAAATCTCCCAAATCTGCTTTATTAATTGCCAATGCCAAGTTTAAAGCCTTATGGGTACAGAACTTTTTGCATAGAGAGGCAACTATCTGTGCAGGTTCAAAATGGATATGGGAAAGTGTTAGCTTAAATAACAGAGCAGGTACCGAAACTAGGAACCCAGAGGAGTAAGGAGATGATATCTGGCACAGCTTCAAACAAATATTCTAGGGCAAATGAGACTATAGATACTGCTGACCTAAAAACTGCCAGACATTGCTACTAATGTTATTTTGCCAAGGGCATAGCTTCTTCCAGCTCAGCTAATATTTCCAAAGAGGCTAATGCCTTGAAGGAACAGTAGGTACATTAGAAAACATATCATAACCAAACCCTTAATCATCTCCTATCCATCCAGCATATTCACACACACACGTTTTAAAATAAAAACCAACCATTCTTCAGTCTCCTTGCACATGAAATGAAAACAAAGAAAATTCCATCTTCAGGCCAACGACAGATGCAGGTAAGAGTCCAGTTAACGTACATTAATGGAAGTCCCGAAAACTTTCACGTGAAAAATCTAACAAAGATCCGAGCACACAGACTGTTTTACAGGCATGGGTCACTGACAGTGAAACAGTTTCATAAGAAGTCCAAGCAGTCTAGTTGTTCTCCTGTAAGATCATTACCTTAAGACATTAACAAATATTGGGTCATATTGTCAATTCAGTTCCTCCAGGGATGAATGGAGCCCCTCTTGATATGGTGCAAAAGGAGAAGTAAAAATACACAACTAGAAAGGGTGTCTGCACCAAGTTCCCAGTGACTACAGCGGCTGAGTCACAGTGGGTTCTTGGACATGTAGGGGAGTTTTAGCAGGAAACCGCCTACCACTTTATTTACAGCTCCACTTCAACTATGCCATTCGACTCAGCTCAGTAGATGATTTTTATCACAGTAGATGTTGGGGATGCATTTGCAGAGACACTTTCCAGGTCACACATGTGCAGCATTGGATTTATGTGAGCCTTCTATGTTTTCACTTTGGATGGGAGAAATACTGCCCCTTCTGTCCTTTTACCCCCCAGTACAAGGTAGTACTTTTTTCCAACCACTCTGATTTCTTTCTCATACCTAGCCTGTATGCGTATTTTGCATTGCTGGACTCCTAGAAACCAGCATGCTACCATAGTATGCCTTACCAGCATTGGTACCTACAGTGGCACATCCAGCACCTGGAGACAGAGTATGCTGCTCTATCACACAACACACTGTCTTTTTCTGGCAGTTAAAGTAATTAAAACAACAACAAGTTTGTATCAAAAAAGCTATGCTGGAACTCTAGCAAAGCTTCTTTTTATGAATTTCTTCTTTGTAAAGTATAGACCTCTATAGAAAAAATATATATATGTATTTTTTAAAATGGTAATTATTTGCAAATTTTAGCCCTCGAAAGTTAGAAAGGGCCTTCCCTGTCTTTTCCTGCAAATTCTGTCCTAGTTTTGTGAAAGAGTTAAGATCACACATTTCACCAGCACCCCTGCGTCACTCAGCATACAGATGCATGAGTGGGCAGTTTTCAGGTTGCGTGTGCATGTAAATCTGATATTGCCCAATTTTTCGGTTCTAGGCTTTGTAAACCACATAGCATCAGTGCAGCATGCGTGCCTGGTGCAGAACAGGAGGCTGGCTGTGGTGTGCAAGTACAAACTGCTAATTAATTACTCTCAGGAACAGTGATATTCCTGAGCCTCATGACTGCACCAAAATCCCAGTTTCAGAAGTGAATGGCTGCTGAATCCCAGTGTGAAGGACACACCTGTGTTCATGGAGGGCTTCTTGGCAGAGCACGCCCAGCCAAGGACAACACCAGAGCCCAAACCCTCTGACCTGCATCTCCCAAACCTGCTGCTTCCTGCACAAGTCTAAGCCCTGAAAAAGGGGGCTGGGAGATGATACAAAGACAAGAAAACATGTCAGTTGGATCTGATTCTCTCTGTTTATACCAGTCTACAGAAAAGTTTATGCAAATTAAAACCAGCCACAGGACTGCTGGGAAGCTGCCAGCTACACTCTTGGTTAGGGAGGGAGTGAAGTTCAGAGAGGGAAGTCTCATCAGGCTGGTTCCCAACAGCCAGCAGAAGCACCCAGTTCAGTACAGCAATGTGGGGGTTGTTGCTACAAAGAAGCAACTACATTAGTCATCCATGCTGGTAGCTTTTTTATGCTCGAGTTTTTATTTTTTTACACCCCAGCATTTTTTTGTGTGTGCACGCTGCACAATGTTCTTCTTGTGGCTCATTTTTTTAAAAACAGTCAGCTCTAGCCCTGCCTTTCAAGTACACACTTGAGAGCTCATGCAGAGCAGAGGAAAGATGCTGAATGAATCACAGGAGACTATCTACTGGCCAAAAATGTGCAGGATTTACAATTCATGGTATTTTAGGCAGCAGGTCTGTCACATGAAGAGGATTCATCGTGATCTGACCCAGCTGAATGAGTGTAGTGCTGTAGAAACCAATGGGGTTATCTCCCTGGTCTTAAGGCAGTGTTATTATTTCTGTCCCCTCCAAATCACTGTCTTCCTACCTGCCTACCACCACCACAACCACATGTTGGCACAAGATTAGCAGAAAATAACCACACTTTGATCTGCCTGCTACCCATTAGTGGAAACTGGGAATTCACTGGAATTCAGGGAACTGGAGACAGGTCACAAGTTACACTCTTGGTACCACAGTTTATCTGCACAGTTGATATTTTAGAGTTTCATGTGTATTGCTCAGTTTCCCTGAAATTAACCTTTAAGAAAAGAGAAAGAGAGGAGAAAAACAAAACAAAACAAAACCCACAGCCTTTCAGGGGGATCAGAAACCAATTTCAGGAAACACTATCAACTTTGATGGTAAACACAGCCACTGAAAGTAAATAGTAAATGCATTATTTTGTGTGTGTGTGTACTGAATTAATTTTTTTTTTTTTTGAGTTTCATACAGAAATAGAGAAGGAAAAGTGCAGAACACTATGTAACACACTGCTGGGATCAAGCTATTTATTGCAGACTGATCAGGGGTGAGCTATTTTTAGTATGATCCATGAGCAAGCAAGAAGCTTAAACCAAGTGAGATGCTTTATCCAGTAGTGTCACCTGGGATCCTTCCATGCCATTATCCCATAGCATCACATCCCTGGTACGTGCACAACCTTGATCTTGGGCTTCTCAGCAATGCAGTGCAACAGTTCAATGGTGGTGCATGGGAAAATGGGACAGTAAGAAAGTAAGGAGAAAATGTGAGAGGAATAAAAAGTCAGGGTGAAGACAGGAAAACGAAGGGAGCTAAGTGGTACCCTTTCAGCTAATTCAAAACGTGTAACACAAATGTATCTAGACGTGAGCATCACATGTCTGTGTTTCTGTCTCTTAAAAAAACAAGCTATTTTTAGCAGGAAGGTGGTTTGGACCCCAGTGGACTGTTCTAGGTGCAAGTCTACTTTCCATTTTGCTAACAACAGTGATTGCCACAGTGCCACCAGCAGCACTTTGGATGCTGAAGTAAAGGCTAATGTGAAGCCATGGCACTTGCATCCCATTCCTATTAAAGAACCAGCACACACTACAGAACAAGGTCTCAATCTTTTTGGATGAAGGAAAAAAAAAAAAGGAGAAACAACCTAAGATCACAGACCTTGTACTATTGTTACTGGGCTTACATACTACTATAACTAGTAATCCTCTGAAGGGCTCTGATGAAGCTCCTGCCAAGCCTATAGCAAAGAAATCTAACCTAATTCAATATTTCCTCCTGAGCAAAGCAAGTACCCATCTGGGAGGATACATGAGCATTTTTAATGTAGCCAGACATTCTGGGTCTCTGGCAGGCCTCCAATGACAGGAAAAGCTGTTAGGGTGTGTAGGATCTTACCCGTAAGTCCTCCACCTCTGTTGTGTTGAAGTTGTGGCATGGTATGAGCACCAGAAAGGGACAAAGCTTTCACTGACTGAATGGAAAATCCATATTCCCTGTTAGTATTCTAACCTTTCCCCATAGACTCAGGGAGAGAGGATGTTCACCTACTTATATGGGAAATCATTTGAAAGAGCATGGGATTTAAATTCACATTCATCAGTTTATTGGGATTTCTTTGTATTATTGTTACTAGGTACTTAATTGCATCTGTTTGCCCATAAAAAATCTCAAGGGAAAAAGCACCATTACTTGATGTTTGAAGAATTATATTTGCCTTTTTTTTTTTTAATTAGAAATTATCACCCAACAGCTAATCTGCATTTTGAAAGTGGTGATTAGAGAAATCCAATTACAGAACTTCAGCATAGGTATTTCCTGAAAGAGCAGTCACTTGAAGGCTGCAGTAATTTACATTGAGTGGGGCTGTAATATCAGGAGCATACAGATCATTCTGTTTAGAAGTAAAACCAGAACGTCATGGACCATAATTTTGGTACCATTGCAGAAACTGAGAGGTTACTCAGGCCGTGCTCAGAGTCAAGGTATGAGACAGTCAGAACAGGACAGCTGCAGTAAAAAACTAAACAGAGGAACAAATCTAAACTGTTTGTGGATAAGAATAGCTCCAGCTACCTTACCAGAAGGGTTTTCTGTGAGTAAAGTTGTATTAGAATGACTTGGAGTTTGAGATCATCACATGTCACTACTAATATGGTCAATAAGTTTTTGAAGGTTGTCTTGGCAAGCTCAATTCAATTTATGTGACTAATCCTAATGCTTCATCTAGACTCATCATCCGAAAATTTGCCAGTATTTTGATGTTATTATGAACTGAAATGGATTTGCAATTGAAATACAGCACAGAATTTCTTTCCTGTTTAAGACAGCTGATAACAGGAGTCCTCACAGAATTGGAGGATTAAGTTGCCCTTACAAAGTGAGTCACCACAGACGTCAAACCTCCCAACAGCAATTCAGCGAGATGTCTATAGTGCTCCTGGAGGAAATCCTCTAAGATGAGCACTCTTCCCACTTTCGTATTCTCAATTGCCTAATTTACTGAGAGGGGACATCAAGGACTGCATGCTATGATACGCTAATTTTACCTAACATAATATTTCTTCTTAATTAATCCACAAGCATTTGTGGTGAGGTCTGTATCTAACTAATATAAATATTTCTAAACTTAGAGAAGGCATCATTAGTATCTTTGGATTAAGTTTCTGATTTATCACTTTAGTTACAGATGCCAAGAGTTCTACATGTAAAGTACTTTTATCTTGTGTCAGAAATAGCCAACTTATTTTCCAGATTCCTAGAAATTCTGCAGTGTTTGGAATATCATGAAGCTAATTTATTCTGAGCACAGCTTGTCGACTTCACAAGTAAAATTGGCCAGAGTTTGCAATAATTCTGGAGAAGGATGATGTCTGAAATAAAATAAAACAAAACACTGTTAATTATGGCAGTGGTTTTGGCTTTTATTTTTTTCTGTTTCTTGGCAAATGCGGAATTAATATTTCTGTTCTGAAGTAGACTGTTGAGCCACTTATCAAGACCCATTATTTTTCAGGAAGTGAAAAGAGAAGAACAGAAATCTAGCTAATTTCTCAGTAAATACTTCGAAAATTGAGAAAATAAAATTAATATTACCTAATTGTTGCCTACATTTTTACAGACATAAGTTCTATAATTATCCAAGGCCATAAAACAGTATTAAAATCCATACAGGATCTATCTGTGTAGCAGAATGAGATGCGCATTCACTAGTTCCTATTTGTTGTATATATGAATTATTTGCTACTGCAGAACCCAGGGTCCTTAATATTTTTTCACCATAAGAGGTTGGGTGGTTTATGATCTTGAGGTTAGATTGTGACTGTAAAAAGATCAGTTATTAAATTAGCAATCACAGTAGGAATATAGAGGCCTACATATCATAGCAGTAGGAAAACCCACAAAAATAACTTTTTGTGGCTGAGTTTTAATGGTGATTTATTCAGATTGAGGCTTGATGATTTCAAGGATTAACAATCCAACCAAGTTATCTGAAAACGTCTCAGTGCATTGTGAAATAAATAGGATTGTCCACGTGGATCTGGATGAGAAGCTGATTTACAATGCAATCAGCTTTTGATTTTTCAGCTTCCTGTGTGCTACTTCTGGATTCTCTAACAGCACTGTATCTGCCTTCACTCATTTAAAAAGCCAGCCCACTTTTTTTTTTTTCCCTTTAATTTGAACGTAGAGAGACTCAACAGTCCAAGGAAATAAAAATGAGATTTGGGTCCATCTGACAATATTAAGAATGAATTTTCATCTGTTTCTGTGGACTGAAAACCAAACGTGGGGGAACATTTGAGTCATTTGCTCCACTTCACCCCAACCATAAAAATCTCCTCATGTTGGTTGTGCCTGTGAATGAAACGTATCAGACAGTGATGCCGCAGCCTTTGAATTACTTTAGCAGAAGTTATTTGTGTGTGGTTTTAATAGATGGAATCATGAGAGCACCAGAAAGGGCATCAATTCTGTTAATCTGCAGCAGTAAATGCAGATCTGTAATCTTGTAAACCATGTAGGACACAGACTAACTAGTCATTGAAAGCACACGGAAGTGACAGAAAATGACTGTTAAGAACTGAAAACTGTAAGAGCAGAGGATAGTAATAGCATTAAAATAGTGACAAAGACACTGCAGGCCTTTTTGGATTATGAATGGATGTTTTGTTTGCTACCCTCAACACTCCCATTTCACAAATAAATATCCCCCAAAGCTTATGACCTCTCCAGCATCCCCTTCTGACATTACATGAAGGACTCCAACTGCATGTGTGAGCACTAACTTCAGCTCCAAAAACTACAGCAGAGTTCAGTGCTACAGCTGATTTTCCTGTGCCATTTTACCACTCTCCATTTGTCAGCCTGGGATCTGAAAATAACAAGAATGGGGAAATGGAGAAACGGAGAACGTAGCTTCAAGAGCAAAGGAGAGAGCTGCTGGGGTGGTAATGAAGGCAATGGAGAGGGGGTAGGGGAATGCAGTCTGTTCTGGCTTACTTCTGAAAGGATCTGTCAGGTATCATGGAAACCAGATGAAAGTAAAATTAGCAACTGGCTGTGAAATTCAAGGTACATGTTCCTCCAGCCACCACTGAAACCTCTGCAGTCCAGTAAGTGGAAGCCAAGCTACCATCATATGGTTCTCCTTTAAAATATCCAGTTCAGTTTTTACTGCGGTAGTTCTCCTATCTGAAAGGCAGCCTACTACCTCTGCAATTAGCACCAGCATTATCGTTGGGGACCTAAGATTCCTCTGCCAATTGTGGAGTTTGCACATACAAACAGGCCCACACCCGCGCTATGCAAATCTCTCATTTGTATAAAGAAATTAAAAAAAAAAAAAACACCACCACCAGAAAGCATGCTGCCCTTTCACAGTGCTTCTACCAACAACTTCAGTCCTTCCTCTTTTCTCTTTTTACTCAGCTAATTACCAAGAAGGATGTCTATAACTGAAATGTAGTCAATCCAAACCACATTTTTGTATAGTTAACTGCTTAGCATTTGAATTCATAAGACTAACGCAGATCTTTATTTGACTTGATTAATATCAACAAAGGAGCTTCCACTGAAGAGCAGGCAGAGTCCAAGTAAACCAACATTAACCGCTCCAGAAGAAGAAACTAACAACATTTTAAATAAACAATTCCAAAGTAGCCAGCTTAGGGAGGAAAGGAAAAAAAAATGCTTTAGAGAAATTAGGACTTCTTTAAAGTATAACAGTTTATTTCTCTTACAGAGATATATTTCAAAGAATTTGTCTGGAATATTCAGAGCAACTCATGAGAGGGAGAGGCTCCACTCTTACTCAATTTTAGTATGCTCTTAAGCTTAATTACTTTAACATCCCAAAAACACAGCTTTTCATCCTAGCCAGTAGACATATGCACATCCTCATGGCTAATACTGACAGCAATCAGTGTTAGAAGACAAGAATTAAAATTTTCTATCATCCATCCTAGCTGGATGGAATCTAAATTATACATTACCTGCAGAACAGCTTGAAATTCAGCTCAGAATACTGCTTGTGTACTGACTGGCCACCCCTAACCTAGGTATAGAGATGAAAACAATCTGAAGACATCCCAAACTCTATTTTGTTCTTGGCATAAAGACTTATCTATGCTGCCATGGAGAAACTAATACACCCAGCATCCTTGAGTGACACATAACACGGGCATTACTATCATTATAAAATGAGTCATCTTTATAGGCATTTGCCTTTAGGCAAAATGGCTAAAAGGTTAAGAGAATAAGCTGTACTGAGCAGGCTCACTTTATTACCTCTTAACCTACAATACAACAGTATGGAAATGGAGATATATAAGGAAACGTCTAATCAGGGTAGTTAGATCTTTTGGGCATGTCCCATTTAAATACATCAAGCTCTGCCCTTAACACCAAGTTAAAGTGGGTGACGGAGGTTCACGCTTCTCTCAGTGCTGCTGGTTTCAGTGCATCTGAAAGCAAGCTCAGAAACAATGTGGTGTCTATTTTACTTGCAAAATCAAAGAATTCCGATTTCAGGGGTTTCATTTAAATGAAAATTCAGATTCTGGAGAAGAAAACAAAACCCACTAAAACAGGAAGGATGGTATTGTGGTTAAGTTTCTAGTATGGTGCTCTGAAGACCTGAATTATGTTCCAGTCCTAGCCCTTCAGCAGGCTGTCTCACTCTCTGACTTAAAGCAAATCACTGAACTTCTTAGTGCTTCAGTTCCTCTGCTCTACAAATCATGCTGCTGGTTTGGGCAGTTTATACAATGAGCTCTTTCATCTAAGGGATACCATCTCCAACAGCAGGACAGGGGAGGCTGTAACCTCAAAACACTAGTAATAACATATGCGACCCTACTTACTTGAATCATTCGTACAAGAAAACAATTTATTAAGCCTGGGAAAAATATTTTAATTATTCATTGACAACTGTCTTAATAAAAATAAAAAAAAAGCTGATTTAACATTAATATATTAATTTCTACACTGATCATCCACTTCCTATACCAAACTCTAACCAAAACACCATTCCGCAGACACGTTGGCCTACCAATTAATTCGGCTTCCTATGAAAATCAGCATCTGCCTCTCGTCTGAAGAATAAGGAATGCAGCTGAAATGGGGAGTGCCTGCTGATTTTCTAATTGTTTTAAGTTATTTGCATTTTTTTTCTTCCCAAGGACTGTCCCTGAAGGGTGGATGAATTCAGTAGCGTGTGGAGTGCCCCAAGAGGGATTTTATTCTGGGGAATACCATACATGGTATCACAGCCTCCTACCCCTTGGTGGTTTCACAGGGTGAAGAAAGGCTTGGAGGAGTCATAAAGGAAGCTCTGCCTACCTTACACTGCTGCTAGCATTGCTCATGGTATGTTTTCTGAAAAAAGAATCTAGAAAAACAGGGAAACGTCACATATTAACCCCAAGAGACACAGTGCTCTCCCACCTTCAACACCATCCTCAGATCTGTGCTTTTTCCCTTGCTGCCTCCTGGCAGACCTCCCCCTACATCCAGTGCATTTCTGGCCCGTGAGTAAGCCATGCTCCTGCTGTAGAAACGACTGGAGTTTCCTCTGATTTTTTTTTTCCTCTCATTTTCCAAGCCAATGTTTGTGAACTAGGAGTCAGGACTCTTATATTAAACAAAATTGAGTTTGTTCTTTATCCAAACCTTAGGAGCTTTACCAATACAACCCTTCACATCCAAAGTGTTTACATTCCCGCCCAAAGAAACAAGGGAATCCTTTTTCTTTCACCCCAGACTTTGCCTTTCTTTTCTGAGACCATCAGCAGGGAAGAATGAGAGCAGGACTTTTTTTTCTCCATGTGAAATAGCACTTCATGGAAAAAAATAAAACAAACAAACAAACAAACAAGAAACCAACAGAAGGTCTGAAAGAGTTTCCAGGGAAGGCTCTACTTACCAGAGACACTCTAAAGAGCGCCTAACTCACCTTGCAATATGCAACGAACCCTCATTAAGCTAAGCTCATTGAGCAGAGATCAGAAACACCTGAGTTGGCAGCAGTGCTTCAAACTTCAGTCATTTCAGGAGACCTTCTTTCCATGTGGGCTCTGCTCAGCAGCTCTCCCTCAGCTCCAAATTTATGCACTGCCCCCTACTGGGTAGAGTAAGCTCTTTTTGTCTAAAAGTAACACCTTTTTATGCAAACCTGCTGGAATGGATGTCTTTGACAGGCCCAGATAATGGGGATTTTAGGTAGAGGGAGAGGGGGTAAGGAAGTAAACAGAAGGCTGAGGACAGGGCCTTGCAAAAGGAAACGTGTGAGGGAAAATCAAGATATCCCAATAAAACTCAACGTGTGAGACCCTCAAGTCTAAAGCCCCAACTCTTCCTACCACAAAATCTTCACCCCCTGTAAAAGTCCTTCACATGTCACAACTAAGTCCTGCTTCTCCTGGGCAAGCCTTTCTAGGACAATTTTATGGAGCACCCCAGACCACTCTCACTGCGATTCACGTACAGATGACAGCAAACATTAAATCAGCTACTCAGTCCATGGCAGCCAGACAGCATGTGCACCCAGAGGAGCTGCTTTCCCTTGTGATTCTACAAATTAAAAATGAGGTGAGAGTGTAACAGCTTTCCTGGAATGTCTGTGGCAACCAGCAGCCAACCTCCATCTCACCTGAGAAACACCTGCAGCACCGTGCTGCTGTATGGCCATGCCCTGCTCCACTCCTGAGAGCCGCAGTGATGGCAGAAGGAAGAAGTGCTTCAAGCCAGGCTGGGAGTTAGAGGATCTGAGCTGCATTTTTTGGCTCTGATTTGCCTTACAGTCAAAGCACTTCAAATCTCTTCTCAGTGGAGGGGAGGTAGAGGACTTTGTTTTATTTAAATAGGTTAAATGCAGTCAAGGGCAAGGCGTGGTCCTACTGCGTCTGAACAGTGCCTTGTATGAAGCAGCCCTTGAAGCTACTCGCTGCATGGAGCATACCACAAAGCAAAGCAAATAGTGGTAAAACATTTCTCACTATTGCATGTTTGAATTCTAAAGCAAGTTTCGGTTCCACCATTCCAGAATGCTTTTGTTTTACAGAGAAAAGCAGCTGAGCTTCCCTCCCCCCGTCACTCATAATGAACCTCAGCTCTAGCTCAGTCACTCAGAAATGGCCTGAAAGAGATTTCTGAGTGAAAATGGAATCTCTATGCCAGTTCTTAAAATTTATGATGAGCTCTGTTTCTCCAAATTCATGACAGCTGTACTACATGAACAGCAAATTTTGGTGGCTAGAGCATCATCAGAAATTTCCAGGTTCACCTACTGTACACCAGCGGCCCATCACTGTAGGTCACTGTACCACCACGAGGTTAACTAACTCAGTCTGACCACAGCGGCTTTTGAAAAGAATATAGAGCCCCAAAGCAGGAAATACATCCCCTTGACTGCATCCCAAAGGGCAACTCACAAGTCCTTTCTGGCCCCCAGCTCTTAATCATCAGACAGAAATACTTCCTTTTCATTGTCACAAAACACCACATTGACTGTAAGGGGAAAACATCCTCTCTCCGTTCCTCATGTAAAGCAGTCTGGCTCCAAAACTCGCCTGTCACACTGCATGCACCTGACCACATAGAAGAGACAATCTTATGTATTGATTCCAGAGTTGAGAGGCAGTGAATTCCTCAAACCTTTTGGACACACTCGGGAAGGTGAATGTCTGCACTAGGTTAGGGCAAACAGCTTCCAAAAAGGAAGAGTCAAAAGAAAGATTTCTCAGCCTTTTAAACAGATGTTGGTTACTGCTTTAAGTGGCATCCTCTTTGAAGGAAAGCACACTTTGCTGGGACCTGCCTGAAGGAGCAGATCAAACACCGGCTTGATTACTTAAGGCTGACAAATCTCCCTGTGGGTGAGCAGAACAGCATCCCAAGCCTCCTGCACTGGCTGCTGCCAAGGTCATAAATACAGCTGGGGATTTGAACAGTTACTTGTAAGTCCAATTGCCCTAGAGAAAGCCCCGAGGAAATTCTCTCTCAAGAACTCTAAAACCAGTGCAGCGTCTGCGCCGTCCTCCGGGTGGAAGGCTCGCAGGTTTCTCTGAATGCTCTTCCAGCGCAAAGCCACTGCTGCTCCAAGTCTGCACCCCTTGTTGGCCATTCCACAGCCAGGCACGAAGCCCCCTTCCGTGCCCTGCCCGTGCCGCCCCGCTCCCCTCGGCAGGCCGCTTGCCCCCTGATCGTCCCAGCCCCTCATCCCGGCTCTCCCCTCGCCCCCCGGAGGCGGGCACACCGAATCCTGCGCCCTCTGCGGGCCGCGGCGGGGCTCCTCCAGCACCCCTCGGGCGGCTTTCAGGGCACAAGGGGATAACTGACCAGCGGGGCTCGGCACGGCCCGGGGCAGGGGCAGTACCAGCTGCCCTCGGCGCTCCGCTGGGAGCCAGGCTCGGCTCAGCCCTGTCCGGCTGGGCTGAGCCCCGGCGAGCCGTGACTCATTGGGAAAGTGAAAGTGAAGCGGGGCCACGTGTTTTCGGAGAAGGCCGGGGAGGGGCGGGCGGGCAGAAAAGCGCCGCCGCGTTAAATAGAAAGCAGAGGCGATGAGAGGGCCCAGAGCGCTGGAGGTGCCGCCCGGGGCAGCCGCGGCTCGCAGCGGAGCCAGGCGGGGGGGGCCCCGCACGGAGGATGCTCCGGAGGCCGCCCGGGCCAGCACCGCGCCCCCGCCGCCGGGCGCGCAGCCCCTGCGTACGGTTCGCGCTCCGGCCGAAGGTAAGGGGGGGCTGCCGTGGGGGTGCGGGCACCCTTCCCTCTCTGGATCGGAGGTTGTGCTCGCTGTGGAGCCTCGGGTTGTACGAGACGAATCAGCCGCCGTACCCCTCCCAGGGGCCCGCGGACCGGGGCAGGCTCCCCTCCGGGACCCCGCAGCTTACCCCGCCACCGAGCGGCTCTGTGCGGGCAGCCCCGCGGCCTTCGGGCTCGGCCGTTCTTTGTCGGCAGCGTGCGCTGAAACTTAATTTTTGTGTTAACTTGAAATGCCGAGCGATAATCCTGGCCCAGAAACTGGAAAAACTGACATTAGTTTTCTTGTCCTTGTGCAAGGAAAGCCCAGCGCTGCTTTCAGCTTGTTATTTGCCAGCAGAAGGATTTTTACAAGCCGCTGTGGTGTTTCAGGAGGGTAATATGACCTAACTGAAACCAAACAGTGAGCTGTTAAATTAGCGCAGACAGGAATCCAGCGGTGTACTTTCTTTGAAATCTGCATTAGCATGTTACCCTGAACTGTAAGATGGCTGAGGGATTCATTTCTGAGAATCCTTCAAGGTTTCTCAACAAGCTGCAGATCTATATCTGACTGTAGGGATAAATCCTAAAATCTATGCTTGCCAGTAAGGTCAAGGCAGCCAGCAGAGATGTATCGAACCACGCTGTCAGAGGTAGATGTTTCAGGCCAAGCTCATTCCTGGTGCAGCGCTGCTAATTCCTTTGAAGTAACACGAGGGATGAATTTAGTCCCTCATGCTGAAAGATATATCAATAGGAAGCAATTTAGATTGGGCCACTTAGAGTGCATGTAATACAAAAAAGAGAGAGACAGAGGAGTAATGCTTTAAGGGTTCATAGAGGTTGATTTGTATAAGCTAGTGAGGTTCGAGCATTGCTATCCCAAGGGAAAGTTGGGGGAATGGGAAATAGCCTTTTATGGCTGAGCCTCAGGTTAACAGGAGAGAGGGAAGGAGTTTGAGGATTACTGTGTAAATTGGCAGTGCTGCAGGCTGCCCTTCCAAGTTATGCCTCAGTCACACAATAGCATCTATTCACCTTGCCCTCTTCCCCAGTTACCTGCAGGCTCATGCCCAGCTGCAGGGGCTCTGTTGTCTTCACCCGCTTTCTCTTTTGCACCTAGAGCACTAAATGATGCTGCCTGAGTTCTGACAGCACTTGGCACTGGGGGAAGGGAAAGAGGGTAGTGCAGAGAAAGTGGCTGGAGAACCTCCTTGCTTTGTTATCTGAAGACTTGCGACTATTGGAGTAAGAACCAGGTGACCTCTCAGTGAGAGGTTCCTTCCGTTTGGGTCACTCCAGGTCCTGAGATGCTTCTGCAGGCTCATGGCAGGGAAATTGCATTATCCTCTGTAGCTGTTTGATCCTTGCTAAATATTTTTGGAGCTTTGGACTCTGCAGTAGTAATAGACTGCTAATCTTGTCCAAAAGCAAGCAGTTGTTTGCCCAGTGTAAATTGTCAAATGAATATTTTATTATTTGATAATGGGTGGGAGTCATGTGAATGGAAAACTTGGTCATTCAGAGATTGCAGCCACTTTTCCCTGGGGATCTCACTTTGTGTCTCTTTGGCATTTCAGAATAGCTGCTGGAAAGCTGCCCTGCCGTAGCCACTGACGCTATGGAAGACCGCATCAGCTGGTCTAGGCTGTAGGATGGTAGCGCACAGCAAGGTGTCAGCAGATAATGCAGTTGCAGCAGACCCAAGATGTCTACTTGACCCTCCAGCACGGGATCGTTCACAGGCTCGAGGCTACCACGGCCCAGGCCAGCCTGGCACTCTGCAGGCACAGAGCAACACGCACTTCCGAACCTTTCGCTCGCAAGCGGATTTTAGTAGCATCACTCGAGCAAGCAGCTTGCTGGATGCCTGTGGCTTTTACTGGGGACCTCTGACTGTTAGTGCTGCCCACGAGAAGCTGAAGTCTGAGCCCGAGGGCACCTTCCTCATCAGGGACAGCACGCAGAAGAATTGTTTCTTTGCCATCAGTGTTAAGACTGCAACTGGGCCCACCAGCATCCGGATAAACTTTCAGACTGGGCGTTTCAGCCTGGATGGCAGCAAAGAGACTTTTGACTGTCTCTTCAAGCTGCTGGAACATTACTTAAGCTCCCCGAGGAAGGTACTGGTTACCCCCCTGCGCAAAGTCCGTGTGCAGCCCTTGCAGGAGCTCTGTCGGAAGAGCATTGTGAAGAC